TTACAAAATAATAAATATATCGTACCTCTTATTTAAGTCGTGCACGTCATTCTTTCATATCATAAAATTCATCAATGATAGAATCTGTGTTAAACTTCTCGCCAATCCTTCTTTCAATGTAAGGAATCAAACAATCAGTTAGAAATTCGTCTTCCATCTTGTTTTTTGAGTTAATTTTATGTAAACATGTAATATATTATATTTATACTATAATATAATATGATATAAATAAAATATAAAATAATTTTATATATGTATACGTTGATTTTATTATTTTTTTGAAAGAGGGGGTTAAGATCCTTGCTTTAAAGTCGATGTAATCATTATATAAAATAGGTTTTATTTCTTTCTTCATGGATATTTTTGAAAGTTATTAATTAATATTTTTATCCATAAAGTTATTAATTACATTAAGCATCATTCATAAAATATTTAAAAGTTATATTTCTCATTTTAGAGATTCAACATCGAGCAGTAATTTAATCAAATAGTATATATATATAAGTGGAGATTCTAATCTTACAATCCGATTTTAGGCTTTTATTATTTACATCTCTTTTGTTTACTAAATATATCCATCACCCCTTTTTTATTTTAAAAAATTACTTAAATACTTTTTTCCATTAACTCCTTTTTTCCCTCATATAATCTTTTAGCTCTCTATTCTTCCGCATTTTCACTTTCAAAAATTACTTCATCAAATAAACATGTACTAATTTAAACAAAAAAAATTGACAACATTTTAACAAAAACTACACATATATTTCAAATATTATTTTTAAGAACAGTACATGTTTGTTCCAATAAAAAAATCATTTTTAATAGTATATATTTATTCTGAAAAATAATTTTCAGTAATTTTTTTTTTTTAAAAACACAAGTTCAGTCATCATCGCATGAACAATCAAACCTCGGAAAAAAAATGATGATTGTCTCAAATAAAATTTACAATTTTTTTTTATATGGCTAATGAAAAAAAGATGTCTATCCATTGTTACATAAAGTTAAAAGTTGTATTAAATAAAGCACGAAAACATAATATAATGCATTAATTTACACCTTGTATTCACAATAGGGGGATAAAATTATAGTAAAATTCTATTAATTTGTATAGAAAAAAGGGACAAATAGATGTAAATGGCTTAAAATTAAAATGACAAAAAGATGTGAAAAATAAAGTTTAAAAAGAAAGATAAAGATGAGAGTATAAAAATAGGATTTAAAAAATAATGAAAATAATCTTTAAGAAAAAAATAAAATTTCCGTTGAGCTAAAAAACATATGTTGATGTCTAGTAAACTAAAATAATTATTTAATAGTTATTTTGCTTCAATCTCTATTATACAAAATCGAAGAAGCCAACAAGTCAAAAGTAAATCAAAATAGAATTAATGAAAAGAGACTGTTTTTTTTTATCAGCCAACAAATATTTATATTATTATATATACCGATATAAGGGGTACCAAAGTCCATATATATACATAAGATAAGTAGAAGATTATAAAAATCTGTCTACCCACAAAAAATCAAATTAACTTTTTAGGACTTTTGAAAAGAGACTGTGTGTTGGTTGGAGTTTGGAGTTAGGGCTTTGAAAAGGGTTAATGTGGTGGAGGTGTATGAGAGATTAATGTGGTAACAAAATATTTAAATATCTAAAGTGATAATAAAACAAAGTCTTTAATTTGATGAAAATATTCGGATGACTTTTTGTGGTGAGTGGTGGCACATGTAATTTTGAATGACCAAATTGATAATTTACTTTAATTTTTAAAATACGAAAAATCAAGAAATATCATATATTGGCTAAAATCTAACCAGTAGAAAGCCACTACAAAATCGATAAACTTATATATATCCAAAAGCAACATAAAAATAGTATAGCATGTACGTAAAAGCTACAATTGACGAAATAAATTAATGGTAAAAAATACATACCAAATTTACTATTGGAGCTTAATTGTAACACTTGTGGGCCACTTTCATAAATCGCACATGACACGAATGGGATCTCTTATTAAAGTTGATGTATTATCTTTTTCTGCTTCAATGCAATTTGTCGACTAAGCTAGTAAATATGACAGCTGTTTTTGTTTTTGTTTTCTTCTTACTTTCTCAAGAATGTCGGTATAACAAATCATGTTATAAGTCTCGACTAATTTGAATCGAGTCAATTGAATTAGTCTGCTCAATAAAATATTTTTAACCATTATTTTTTTTATTTAATTAGATAATTAAAACCCAAATTAAAACTTAAAAAGAAACCAACCTCGTACTCTATTCTAAAAAAAAAAAAAGAAATCTCGTAAATACGTACAGAAATTTATTAAACATATATATAAGTAACCCTATTTATCATATCAGCATGAAAAAGAACAAGTGAGTTACTTAAAATTGATCAAAATTATTTATATAAATACCAATTTTTAAGAAAAAGAAAAAAAATGAAGTTAATGTAACAAGTAAAGTTACTTATAAGCAACTCCATTAGAGATTACCTAAGAAAAGCAAATATGTATTGTCATACTGATAAAAAAAAAGGAAAAGCTCAACTTATTATTGAAATATGTCTCCTATAGCTAACATCCATCCGGATGATACATGGTTAACTACATTAAATATGATTAATATATTTACTGTACAAATGATTAATAATAATGAATGCAGTTCTATATAAGTATTATTGTGGTAAATATTAACTACTTGTGTGATAATATTAATTATTGTTAGGTATTTTACGGACTCATGACACAAATTAATTACTATTATACATTTCAATAATTTCATGTCATTTTTAACAACATATATATTAACAATTTTTTTTGACACTTATATATATATATTTATTATTCTTAAATCTTAATCACTTGTATATATAGTAAAATTATATATATATAGTATTGATCAATAATCTGATGGTACTATATATTAACCGCTAGTAAAATATAATTAATTAATATTAAATTTTTTAATAATTCATGATATTTTTAATGATATATTAATAATTATATATATATATATATATTTTTTTTTTTTTTAATTATTCATTACACATACGTTATATTGAAACCAAAAAAAAAAAATCTCACTGTCGTTCTCAATATACAGTGAGTATGCATGCCATCCACGGGTAATATTAAAGTTGAGACAATACGAGCTGATACATAATATTTTAACGTACGCGATAAAGTTTTAGGTTAGAATATGTAGTCGTCATCTAAATTTTAGGTTAGAATATGCATGCTATCTCAATTATATATTAATTATAAATATGATTAAATAATATATATTATATATCACTATAACTTATATTTATATTTTTTAATAATATATTAAGAGTTAATTATCTATACATTATTAGTGTAAAACTTTTTTACACTGGCAACCAATCATATCTTTTAATAGTGTCATGTTAGTTACTTATTTAATGAAATAATAATAAAATAAATAATTTTAAAAGATATGATTAGTTGCTAGTGTAAAAAACTTTACACTAGCAGTATATTGATGATTAACTCAGATATTAATATATATTATATATATAGTGTAAATAAAAATAATTTTTAACAATAAATATTGTGTTCTTACAAGTGTGTATAATTTTTTTATAGTGAAAATTAGAAACAATTATATACTTTTCTTTGGATAAGGTAGTGAGTTCGTCTAAGAAACTACTACTACTTAACCTAGGTATTATTTGAGCTTAAATCACTACAACAAAATTCATTTTTACCGACAATTATTTATCGGCAATAAATTAATTGTCTTTATTTTATTATTTAATAAAAGTATTAGTGACTAATATATAATTGTCACCAAAATTTACTATATAAGCGACAATTATTTATTAAGAAAAACTTTAGTCCCACATCGACTAGAAATAAGATAATTAAAGAGTATATAAATGAATAATAACTCTCACCTTACAAGTTTGTTATGTAGGATTGAGTTAGACCTATAACTTATTATTCTAAATTAGTATGATATTACTCACTATTATCAAACTCAATAATCCTTAAACTTAAGGGGGTCGACTATTGAAAAGAAAGAAGACAACCTTTATCTTAAAGTCCCACATCAACTAGAAATAAGGTAATTAAAAAGAATATATAAGTAGAAAGACAACTCTCAACTTACAAGTCCCACATCAACTAGAGATAAAGTAATTATTTATTTGTACTTATCTTACAAGTCCCACATCGATTAGAAAGTAAAAAATGTCACAAAAAGATATACACTTTTTCCGACCATTATAAGGGTTTTTACCAGTATTTTGAATAATTGCCGCTAAATGTTTTAGCGACACTGTATACAATAGCTAATGTGAAAATGCCAATAAAAAATTTTGTAACAATTTTTATTGCTACTAAAAGTCATATTAAATGTTATTAAAAGTCTATTTTGTTGTAGTGAATAGTGAATTAAAGTCACTACAAAGTTTCTTCTGTCCAAGTAATTCCACGACCTAATATACGTAGAGAAGTAAATTTTACTAAATATGCTTTTTGACATTTATCTCAACAAAGTGACTTTATATCTGATATCGCCCTCTGATCATAGCTGTTTGGGCCAACTCGCAAAAATAGTAGTATTTAAGAACGTCTTTATGAAAAGCAAATATATCGAAGAAGAAAAACGAAATATACATCTGATGAGAAATACTAACAAGATACTATCTTAAATATATTTTTGAATACTTCTTTTTCTAATTTGATAAAATTTAATAGAAAATATAAGGGTTGGTGGATTTCATAATGTATTTAATTTTTATTCTCTTAATTTTATGATTTTTAATAAATTTTAACTGATTAAAAAGACTATGGAGATGAATGTGTTAGAATTATGTTTATAGTAATAGTGATCATTAATCATGTCTCATAGCATGTCGTTTATTTCTCTATATAAAGTGACGATATCTCACAGAAAAATGTCAAGCCATATATCCACATTAAGAACCCTCTCAAAACTCAAAAGGAGAAACACTTTTGATAATTTTCGACATGGCTTTGCTTCTCTACGCAGCCATATTCTTCTTCTCCTTATTATACTTCTTCAACCGTAGAAGAAGCTGCAAACACCCCCTCTTGAGTGACTACCCTATCCTTGGCATGTTACCACCCGTTCTCTTCAACTTGTGGCGGATCCATGATTTTTTCACTGATATTCTCACAAAACATGGTGGCTCTGGTGAGTTCAAAGGACCATGGTTCACCAAAATGAACTATTTGGTCACTTGTGACTCCCTCAACGTGCAACACATGTTGTGCAAGTGCTTCGATAACTACATGAAGGGACCCGAGTTTCGTGAGATTTTCGAACCCTTCGGAGATGGTGTTGTCACTGCCGATTCAGAAACATGGAAGTACGTTAGAACCCTCCTTCATTCCTTGGTCAAACAAAGGAGGTTCGAAGCGTTTGTCGACCAAACCGTTCAAAACAAGGTTCACGCATGCTTGCTTCCAATACTTGACCATCTGCAACAACAAGGGAAGGTGGTGGATCTTCAAGACGTGTTCAATAGGTTCACATTCGACAACATATGCTCCACAGTTGTAGGGTGTGATCCTATGTGTCTTTCCATCGACTTCCCCGAAGTTGCAATTGAAAGGGCTTTCAATGAGTCAGAAGAGTCCATATTCTACAGACACACAGTGCCAATGAGTGTTTGGAAGTTTCAGAAATGGCTCCAAATAGGTCAAGAGAAGAAGATGACTGAAGCAATCAAAACGTTTGATGAGTTCATATATTCATGCATAACGTCCAAGCGAGAAAAATTAAGCAAGTGTAGCAAAGAAGAAATAGATGAAGCTCCATTTGACTTGCTAACAGCTTTAATCACAGCGGAAAAAGGAGAAAAACGTGTGCATAGTGACAAGTTTCTAAGGGATGCTGCGTTTAACTTCTTTGTAGCGGGGAGAGAAACCATGACTTCAGCTCTCACGTGGTTCTTCTGGCTTGTTACTAAACACCCTTTAGTGGAAGCACAGATTCTTGAAGAGATCAAAGATAATTTTATGACAATGAGGGGGTTTTAGGCATGGAGGAGGTGAAAAAGCTAGTTTATCTTCATGGTGCTTTGTGTGAAGCCCTAAGACTTTTCCCTCCCATACCTATTGAACGCAAGCAAGCAATTAAGGCTGACACACTTCCTAGTGGTCACCATGTGAATCCAAATACGATGATATTGTTTTCTTTGTATGCAATGGGGAGGTTTGAAGAGATATGGGGAAAAGATTGCTTGGAGTTTAAGCCAGAAAGATGGATATATAGAGGAGAGGTTGTTTATGCACCATCTTACAAATTCATTGCTTTTAATGCGGGACCAAGAACATGCTTGGGAAAGGACTTGGCCTTTGTTCAAATGAAGATGGTAGCTGCTGCTATTTTACTCAAGTATCGTTTCCAAGTGGTGGAAGGTCATGTTGCTGCTCCAAGCCATTCAATTGTCCTTCTCATGAAAGATGGTTTGAAAGTTAGGATAACAAAAAGAGAATCAATTTGATGGAAGTGGTTCTGTGATGCATGTGTATATGGTTCTGATTAATCTTTACGTGACAAGTAATCGAATTTTGTTAATTTTTGCTTATAGATTAAAAAAATTTGACTACATGTAAAGATTAATAGACCATATATAAAATAAAATTTCAATCTATTTAATAATTTATCCTTTAGTTTGTGTTAAGAGATGTGTATTCAACATGCATGTACAATAAAATGCATTGGGAGTGGGAAATATGTAAGGACTTGGTTTTTTTTTTTTTTTTTTAATTTAATGGTGTACTATTTTGCATTTAATTTGGATTAAGAAATCTGAATAAAATTAAGTGGTTCTTTTTCCTGTCTTTATTTAATTTATTTTACAAAAAGAATGAATCGTGTGTGTATTAGAAAAATGTTTGTATGTGGAAGGTCATGCTATTCTAACCTTTTAAAGGTTTACATAACAAACAGAAAATTTTATAGAAGAATTTCAATTTATAAGGAAAGAGATATGAATGTTGTAATAGACATTAAGCATATCATGAAATAATGTGCATTTAATTTGGTCTTTATCCTAGATCATTAAAAATGGACTACCTGCTATTTATTTATCTATATATCAAATCCAATAGTGTTGGACATGAGAGGGTGTATTGGAAGAAATCTAAGTCCCACATAGACTAGAGGTTAAGCTATTAAATAGTATATAAGTAGAAAATAACCCTCACCTTACAAGCCAGTTTTGTAGGTTTGAGTTAAGTTTAAATTTACTATTCTAAGGTGATATTAGAGCTATCTTATATTCTTAAAAAGAAATGGGTCACCCACCATTGATACATACACTATGGGCATGAAGAGATGTATTGAGAAAAACTCAAGTTCCGCCAGTCCTAGATCATTAAAAAGGCCCACTCACCATTTATCTATGTACCAAGTCCAATATTTCTGGACGAGATGGGGTGTATTGGGAAAAATTCAAGTCTCACATTGACTAGAGATTAGACAATTCAATAGTATATAAGTGGAAAACAATCCTCACCTTACAAGCCAATTTTGTAGGGTTGAGTTAAGCTTAAATCTACTATTCTAAGATGGTATCAGAGCCATTTAGATCCATTTTAAATGGGTCACCCACCATTAATTAATACATGCACCATGGGCATGGGGGTGTATTGAGAAAAATTCAAGTCCTGTCAATCCTAGATTATTAAAAAAGGCCCACTAGCCATTTATCCACGTACCAAGCCTAATAGTGTTGGACGTAAGGGAGTGTATTGAGAAAAATTCAAGTCCCACATCACCTTAGAAACTTATTTTGTAGGGTTAAGTTAGACTTAAATCTACTATTCTAAGACCTTAATGATAGTGTAATTGAATTCAAATTTTATAAAAAAATATATGATTAGAAGAAAAGAATTAACTACGAATGGAATCAATTTTTTTTTATACAAGAATTAGTTAAGTAAAGTCAATAGATTCAAACTTAAGTCGAATCTATTAACTTTACTCATACATAATTTTCATTAAGGAATCTAGTTTCATCTTTAGCTAAGTCTTTTATCTCAACCACGAAATAATGTGCATTTAATAATCAATAGGTTGTTGGTTTGAAAGGTACACTAGACTTGGTCCTTTTATATAAGATTTCATATTTAAATGATGGAAAAAATATAGTTGAGAGGAGAGACCTAATAATATATACATTTGACAAATATATCAATTGATATAATAATAAAAAGGACAATAGTCCAAGTTATTGATTCACATAGACTTGCATTTATAGTTATTATATATAATTATGATACTAATTAAATAGGTAAATTAAAAAGCAATTGAATTGAATTACTTAAGAAATATTTAATTGTAAAAATTAAAAGAAAACCTAGGATATATAAGGAACTGTAAATACAAAGATCGCAACAAAGCTAGCAAGAAAATCTCCACTTCTCACCTCCTCTATTATCACTATACATAAAAAATAATTTAAAAAAATCATAAGTATTTTTAACTTATAAAACAATTAAGAATATATATTGTCAATAATTGAAGATAACTATCACAATAATTAACAAAGAGAGTAACGTCACAATCTGAATTAGATTGATAAGTTGAAGGTAAATTTGCCACAAAGATGATCAACTAGTGAGCTTATCCTTTATATTTGTTTAAATAAATTTCTCCATAAATATTTATAAATAAATGAAGTAATTAAAATAAAATTAAATAAATTTTTACATAAACTAATATTAATTTATACATTATAAATTAATTTTAATTTTTGGATTTCTTCTTCATATTTTTCTTTTCTACAAGTATTTTTAAAAATATTACGCCAACTTACTCTTAGAACATTAACAAGGGTCTGGTTAGAGGTTTCATCAACTTCCTTAGCCTAATTGAAATTCACAAATGATAATAATGCCAGCAACACCAACAGAAACAACATTCATCATTCGTTTATACATAGAATCCAATGCAATAGAGTGCTCAACATTTTGTTTGTACACAAAATCAAATTTCATAGATCAAGAAAACTATGAAATTGTGCGAGACACCAATTAAAAATACAAGGTATATACCAGTGCAATACACCAATTAAAAATACAAGGTATAAATCAGAGAGTCCAGAGAAAATGTAAAAAGCACAACTCACCAACGAGAAATCCAACAGAACAATGGTAGAGAGTTCTTATTAAACAAGTTCATGCAAGCTCTTCAATGGGAGCAACAACAAAACAATTCTTAAACTTAAACTCTCTCGGCCCAGTACAATTCATACACAATGGAAGGAAGAAACCCTAAACTCAATTCACATATATACTAACCTCAAATCGTCCAAAACCCAGAAAATGCTCAATTCAATCGGTCAGAAAGATCTGGAATCACCCACAGATGTTGAGAAGCCGTTTGCCGGAAAGCACAGTGACCGGAAACGCCCACACATAGTCGACAAACCCTCGCCGAAAATCGCACCATGAATAAAAAGCTTCCTCTATTGTGTAAACCTTGCACGCGCGAAGAAGACGAAGGTGCTGGAGGGGAAATAGAAAGCTTTTTTACGTCGGACTACATTGAGGCCGACGTAAATTTCAAAATCTACATTGGACATCAACCACATTAGACCTAAATTTTGAAATTTACATTGGCCCCAGTGTAGTTCGACGTAAAAAAGTATGCTTTATTTTCAAAATTGCCACCGCATCTTTTTTATGTTGGATATTTTTATGTCCGACGAGAAAACGCTAACGTAGATTCTATATTTTGTACTAGTAAATGATAATGAGACTTAATTGAAATATTTTTTTTTTCTATTGTTTTATTATATTTTTTTCTCGTTTATTTTGATTAATAGTATATTACAAATATATATGAGGGTAGTTTAATATGATGATTTTTATAGTATAATTTATATTATGTCTCTTTTATGTTTTTATAATTCTATTTTAATATCTAGGTTTTGTAAAATATAGAATAAAAAACACTCATACAATATTTTAATCAATATACGTACCTCTTGATGCCATAGTTTGATCGGACGTGATCAAGTGTTCACGTGGAGGTCGGTCTTCCTCTCCTTATCTTTTTCATGTGACTGCCCTAATGAGATACTCTCTGTCTCGATCATGCCCGGCGAGGGTAGTCTTGCGCCCGGTGTTGGTGTTCTAGGCAAGCGCACCCAAGTCTCTGTAGTATAATTTAAAAGGTTGTCGAACCTCAGGGACTTGTGAAGTAAGCTATGATTTCTATTATACTAATTGAT